CCCAGAGGCTTGGGAGGCTGAGATAGGAGAATTGCAAGTTCAAAGCCAGCCTCAGCAACGGGAAGACACTAAGCAACTCAGTGAGACCCTGTCTCTAAATAAAATACAAAAGAGGGCTGGGGATATGGCTCAGTGGTCGAGTGCCCCTGAGTTTAATCCCTGGCACCAAAACCAAAAACAAACAAACAATAACAAAAAARGACAGGTGACCACAAAGAGGTCCCYAACCAAATTACATGAACTTCTTTTTCATTTTCAAATATAAAATAAACTTTCAGTTATGCACTCAGTAAAGCTGTCAACCCCACTATGAAATGCCCAGCTTCCGTGCTGTGAGCAGAGCACCCGGGAAAGGGGTGGGGGTGGGTGCCACAGGCCTGCAGCCCTACCACAGCCCTGAGAGGTGGAGTTTAAGTTTTGAGTTACGTTTCAATGGATAAATTTRCAATTATTAGAGAAAAAGACATCTTCGTGGTTCTTTGATATTTAATGGGCTGGGGCTGTGGCTCAGTGGTAGAGCGCTTGCCTAGCACCTGTAAAGGCACTGGGTTCAATCCTTGGTACCACATCAATAAAATAAAGAATATATAAGACAGTAACCTACAATTTTGTTGGTTGGATGTCACCTTGATGAATTTGCTACTTTTATTTATTGAAATATTTCATTTCCATTGTTGCTGCAGAAAAGTTTAATTTGAATTCCTTGGAGACAGTGAGACAGTCTGTCACTAGTTGCGATACAGAACAGAATACGCTGGCCACTGAAGAGAAATCGGGAATGATGACTCATCCCAGTCTCTGTCTGGGAAGGCTGTGCTTCCCAGCCTGGAACGTGTGGCCAAGGAGATGTGTCCAGGTGTGTGGGCTTCCACCTGGTGGTGGTGTGGGCTTCCACCTGGGCGTCCTCTGAGGAGCTGGTGGGAGCTCCAGGCCACTGCAGCTCAACACTCATTTCCTGTGCTCACGGGACACTTTCATCTTTCTTCCTCCCATTCCCGGGAGCCTGCAGCCAATGCTGTCCTCCTCCTCCAATGTGCCCCTGAGGATTTCCACTCTCTGCAGAAGGGCCCTGCTCGCACAGCTGGGAGCCTCCTCTCACACTCAAGCTGCTGTTGCAGGTGGAAGCCACATTTAATGAAGGCTGTGCTCCCCAGCAGGTACTCTGAGGTGACCCAGCCTTCCAGTGAGGCCCACTCTTCAGCAAGCAGCCTCCTATGAGGGATAGGGACAAATGTCTCCGCAGTGTCAACCTGCTGGCTATCCTGGGAAATGTGTGGACCTTAATACAACTGGAATGTGTCCGAGAGGAAATGGACACATAGGGGATCTCTCAGAAGGTCCAGAGTGGGAGGTGGAGGCTAACATTCACCGAGGAGTTCAGGCCCAGCACCAACAGAGCTCGTGGGCTGGGTGCTGGCTTCTCAAGGTTTTCCTGCTAGAAATGCAGAAAGTACCCCACACCACACTGGTGTACCCCACTCTCCAAGCACCTCAAGCGCTTCATCTGCTTTGGGACAACACAATCAAGCAAAGAGAAAAATCTCCAGATGCCAAGCACAATTGGGCTCATTGCCTGCTGGAGGAAGGTAGGCTTGAAGGGTTTCTGCAGAAACTCCCTGGGACCGAGCACATGGCTTCCGTTCCCAGTGCACATGCCGGCACCGGCCTCTCACATATGTTCTGGAAAACCCCGCCCCATCACACCAGGGCTCCCTGGGTGAAGACAGTAGCTGCAAGGGCTTCTCCCACCCGCCTTCCCTTCTAATGAAGGGAGTTCCAGTGACAGCGGCTTGGGTGCAGTCCCAGAAAGGGGGTTGGAGGAGCCTTGTTCTGCTGCATGAGCAAGCTGTCCACCTCTTCACGAGTCACCACCGTGTTCTTCCACACACCTGTTGGAAGTGCTAGGGCCACAAGAATGCACCTGAGGAGACCAGAACAGAACAAACTTGACTAAGGCAACTGCTTCCTGATCTCCTCCAGAAGCACTCAGGCAGGAAAACATCCTGAACTTGGGACTGAGAACCTAAGGYGAAGGTGTGAGAATTCATTCCTTAGATTTCCTCTGTAAACATTTTGTTATCCATAATTATAGATTTTCACAAGCACTTCTAAAAACTACTAGTTTTCTAAAGTCAATTTATGCAAAGAGAGTAGAAAATAACAGATTGGTCTATTCCCAATTCCTGAAAAATTTACTGGGTGTAAACTAAAATCTTTCACTTCTGGAACTATAAACATATGAATTAATTCCCCGCTTCTCAAACATCAGGGAGGCTGAGGGGGACAGCCTATTAGGTGGCAGGTACGGCCACCGAGTGCCAGGCCAAAGAGCAGGGTAGCCCTGTTGCCTGGCCCAGCACACCCTCGAGGCTCTCCTCCCGGACCAGGATCTCTCTCCAGGCCCTGCGTTAACCTCGAGGCTGGGCCAGAGGGGCCAGGTGGAGGTGGTCCACCTGGTCCGTTGCAGTGGTAAGGCCAGCATGCCCACCTGGTGTTTAATGCAGCACAGCAGATCAACATACAAAATTATATTTCTGGATCGTTTTCTGTGGTTTAGGGAACTGGGTATGAGTCTGAGCCAAGACAACACTGTGCCTAAGAGTGAGGTGGGGGTATCACAGAAAGGAAGCAGCGCTCAGATTACGGGGGACGGGGGACAGTCACTGTGGCAGGACCACAGAAAGTAAAAAATGACACAATCCCTGAGAAATGACAAAGGCAGAAGGGAACTGGAAAGGTGGGTRTGTGTGTCATGATCCACCCCCCCACCCTGCCCCCTCTTGAGAAACCATGGATGGGAGCCATCCTTCCCATCTCCTCTGTATAAGGACAAACAGCTGAGGATCTGGTGGAGGGATACTGTTGCTGAATGTTTCAGCTACAAGCAGGCCCAGGAGTAGAAAAAAGAAGACAAGGCAGCAGCAAGGGGGAGGACCAGAGCAGGTGGCAGGGGTCAGAGCTGCAGGAAGGTGGTGGTCAGCCAACAGAAGAGAAGGCTGTCATTTTTCCAGGAGCCCCTACCTGGTCAGTGAAGTTGTGCAAGCCTGTTTTGTTTCTCCTACAGAAAGCTGAATAGAATGAGCACAACTCTCAAATGTGTTATTGCTAGCTGCACTGCAGAATCTGCAAGACCTAAAGTTCAGGTCAGGCCAAGATCACACAGCCAGAGGCAAGGTGAACGGAACCAGGAATCCAGAGTCTGCCCAGGTCAGGATCCCAGCAGGTGGACTTGATGTTCTGGTTGGTGCTGCTGCTAAGCCTGAAAGTTCAAAGGGAATGAAGAACCACACAGTGTTGTGGGTCTGGGCAGAGGGTCATCCCTGCCAGGCTCTGAGGCACTGGAGCCTGGCCCTCAGTGATCTGCCATGCACAACAGGATCACACAACATTTGCACAACATTTGTGTTTGGGCTGAAGCCTCTGGGCAGCACCCCCCGGGCACTGCTGGAACTAGAGTCCTGAGCCAAGATGTGGAGAGCCAGGTCTGGACGTGGTGGGATCCATGCCTCCTCTGAACTGATCCACGGGACACAAATCCCTGAGGAAGCACAGGTAAGCTACAGGTCCTGTAAACCCTCCACAAGATGTGCCAACCATCTCCCAGGTGCCAGTGCACCASGGTCACCAGCTCCATCGCTCAGAGTCAGGGTACCATGGTGCACTTCCTGCTGCCAAGGGGCAGGGAGGACTATTGGGAACCAGTGGCTTGCAGAAACCTTTTAGAACTCAGAGACAAGATCATAGCCACATGGACACCCTCATGCTTGATGGAACACTTGGTGAGTGGTGGCCCAGTTCAGGCTGGCCGATGGTGTGTAGTGGGAGAGACACCGCTCCACTTAATGTCTGGGAAGCATGTTCCTTAGAGGAACAAGGACAAGGCACTCAATCCCAATGCCCACAAGGAGCAAGGGTGGCCACAGCATGAGTCTGGGTATTGCCTGTAAGGGGGGAGGCAGTTAGATGGGTACAGCKGATACAGGTCTTGCAGATACGGAATGGATCCTTGTTCCCTGGTGCTGAAGATTAAATACTAGCGAAACACTGAGGCAGGCATAGAAGGCAAGTTTATTTAAGAAAGTGATAGCGACAGAAGTGGCCCCAAAGCTGGGTGCCTGCCAGAGAGGTGTGTTGCTCTTTTATAGACCCTAGAATCCTTTTTTAAGTATTGTCTTCTCTTTCTTTTCCTTGTACATACCTTAGAGCAAGGATAAGGGGGTCAAGTGTTTGCAACCCAGAGTGCCCAGAGCACAATTAGATTGTAGAGGTCAACAACACCTTGTCTTCTGTTTGATAACCAGACCTCATCCTCTTTCGACCCCCATCATTCATCACCTACACTGACTGCCTGACCTTTGCTACGGAACGTGACATCCTGTGCACTCGGGCCATGCGGGGCTGCAGGCAGACTGATTTTTAGCAAAGAAAGTATGGGGGGGGGCGGTCAGCAAAGTGGGCTCATTTAAGACAATTATTCTCTTAACCTCGGGTTCCCACCATCTTCATCATTTTACCTCCTTACCCAGCTGAGGGGTGGGAGGAGACTGTCCACCCAGGACTGTGGCCGCCTGGACTGCACACCACGGTGAGAGACTGGACCGAAGGCGCTGTGCGTGAGCCGCGTAGGACGAGCACCAGCAGGGCCTGGGTCCTCGGTGGTCACAGGCAGTTCAGTTCATCTGCTGCACCTGCGCGCGTCCCAGTTAGCTGTCCCCCGCCCGGCCCCTTAACAAYGGAGTGAGTTCCCAAGGTCTGGATGTCCCTAAGCTACGGGTACCAACCCGAGCTCTCCAGGTCCCAGGGCTGGACAGGTCCCGGCCCGCGGGGAGCCCTAGCCGCCCGACCGCGGGGTCGGGGAGCAACCCCCGGAAGCGCAGGCAGAGCACCACCACCAGTACGACCGCACCAGACCGCGAGATAGGGGCCCGGAGGGCGGGGCAGTATCGCGAGACGACCATTCTCGCGACCAGCGGCGATCTCGCGAGACTACAGTGCGCGTCCCTCCTGGGGAGCCGGGCGGGGCGAAACGGCTCGGCGGCTGTGGCGAGGGCGGGCCTTGCGGGCACCATGCCGTCGGCCTTCTCAGTCAGCGCCTTCCCCGTCAGCATCCCCGCGGTGATCACGGTAACAGTCGGCCGCCGAGGTGCAGGAACCGGTGTGGGCGCGGTCGGGTTGCCCCCCCGCCCCCGGGTTCGCGGGAGGGAGGCGTGGACCGCGCTGCGAGGGCGGGGCTTGGCCTTGCGGGCGGGGCTTGGTGGCGGTAGGCGGGGCTTGGTGGCGGTAGGCGGGGCCTGGGCCGGACCGCGGTCACGGGGCGTGGCTCTGCCCGTGGGGCTGGACCTGGGCGGGATTGTAGTCGTGGGGCGGGGCTGGGTCCCGGGCGAGGGCCTGCGCTGCAGGTTGGGTTCCCTCCTGCGCTGCTCTCAGGCTGCCTCTCTGGGTCTCTGGCTCCTGGTGTGGCCCCGGGTTTGGGGCCTGGGCAGGGAGAGATTCCTTCCCTGCCAGGCTATGGACAGGCTGCTCTGTGTTCTAATACCCAAAAGTCAGGGGTGTTCACCCCCTACCTGAGAGCAGTGTGGACACTTAGAGCTGTCCTTGAGGGTCCTGGGAGCAGGGATTGCCTCACCCAGGAGGGGTACAGGAAGGCCTCAGCATCCTGTACTGGGAGCTGGGCCTGGGGGTTGGGGTCCAGGCTCAGAAGGCTCCCAGCCTGGTGGTGGAGACCAGGAGCGCTGGGCGTATGGCAGAAAGGGTGGGAAGATCAGGTCATTGGGGTTAGGTGGCCCAGGCTTCCAAGGCATTGGTGCTAAGGCAGTAGTCCAAGGGACTTCCACAGTCCTAGTTTCTATTTGTATTAACCAAGTGCATCACCTTGAAGTTGCTTAACCTCCTTGTCACCTCGGGGTGTGTTCATTGCTTAGATTTTACCCAACTTTAAAATACTGCTTTATTCAACCACCCAAACAGGCAGGTTGGTGATGCCCTCTGTGTTGTGTGCTCAGACTATAAAGTCTTTAAAAACTCTTTGGTGTGGTTGCAGTGGAGAGGATTCCTACTTCTCTCCCTTTCCTTTTCCTGCTCCCACCTTCCCATGAGGGCTGACTGTGTGCTCGGGGCCCCTGAGAAAGCTGTATCCTGGGCTGAGCCTGCCCTGCCTGACTCGCCGTATCCTCACAGCAGACAGACTGGAGTGAGCCCTGGCTGGTGGGGCTGGCTGTCTTCCACGTGCTGTGCCTGCTTCTCACTTGCTTCTCATCCCAGAGGTACCGACTACAGATTGGCCATTTCCTGTGTCTCGGTGAGCAGAACAGAACAAAATCCCTGTGCTCTGATGGCCATGCGACCTGATGCCAGCATGCCATCTCCAAAATATGTAAATATTTTTACAGTCCCTCCCATAACTTCCAAGAGTCATTCTGTGTGAATTTGAGAGGAACCTTTGGAGCACCTCCCCTGTGCCAGGAGGGTGCTGAATTCCGATGGTTACAAAGACTTCTTAAGTGTAATGAAATCTGGCTATTTTTAAAGCAGACATTTCCCTGCTTGGGCTCAGTCCTGCACTGCTTGCTCTGGAGAAAGGATGTAAACTAAGAAGGAAAGTTTATGTGTTGAAATTATATTGCCTAGATGAGTTTTAAAATTAAGGGCTAAGGAATTTAGAGAAGGGATGTAGCTTCATGAAAAGATTGACAAAAATTTCATGGAGCAAGCAAAATCATGGTACAGGGTGGGAAGAGCAGGTAAGGTGGAGTAAGAAAAGATGAAGAGCAGCCAGCTGGCCCAGGCGAGAGGGCGTGAGCATCCAAATGAGGGAAGGAAGACAGATTCCAGTCTAGAGGGCTGGAGTTGGGTAGGGAGTATGGATCAGAGGTCAGAGAAACTATATCCTGCAGGGCTGAGCATTCTGATGCCCCCTCTGAGGCATAAGGGGTTCTGGCTAACACTGTGGGGGAGAGCCTCTGAGCCTGACCAGGCCCTGATTTTGTAGACATTAGAAAGACAGCAAAGAGCTGGGCCCAGTGGCACACGCCTGTAATCCCAGCAGCTTGGGAGACTGAGGCAGGAGGATTGCAAGTTCAAAACCAGCCACAACAAAAGTGAGACACTAAGCAACTCAGCGAGACCCTGTCTCAAAAAAGCCTGGGGATGTGCCTCAGTGGTCAAGGTCCCCTGAGTTCAATCACCTGTACCACCCCTGCTCCCAAAAGATAGTGAAGATTCTGTTAAGTAATTAAAACATATCAGCTACTTTGAGAGAAGCTCAAACACCAGGTTGCCTTAGGAAGACTGGAGTGAAACGGTCAGAGCTTGCATTACAGAAAAGTGGGTCTGTAAAAATCTAGGTGATCCGTGTTGTTAGGTCCAGTTCTCCACGGGAGAGCTTCTACCAGGTCAAGCCCTAAGGAAGGGCAGGGATACAGTGGGGAACAAAATAGCCTCCTGTCTTAATGGAACTTCCCAGAGGACAACTCCTTCAGCACATACTCACAGGCCTCATTGCACTGTTACCACCATGCGGAGCTTCTGATGGGAAAGGCCAGAGCATAGGAAGGTGTGTGATGCCAGACTGAGGTGGCAGGAGCCAGGCAGGGGGCCAGGGGAGCTCCCAGGAGAGGTCAGGGTAGGAAGAGGTGGCAGAGCCAGGCAGGGGGCCAGGGGAGCTCCCTGCAGAGGGCAAGGTGGGAAGTTCGTACAGCAGGTGCCTTGAAGAAGGGCAGCCTCCTAGGAGAGCTAACCCATGGAGCAGTTTGAAACTTATGAACAGTGTGGGGTTGGGATGTGACTATGGTCACATTGTTCCATGTGCTCTTCATGTCCTCTGACTCATTAGATTCCTAAGCTGCCCTACTAAGGGTTGGGTATTATTTGCCACCTTCTTACAGATGAAACACACTGAGATTGAGAGACTCCCCTAGTTGTGCAGTGCATCATCAGCAGGGAGGAGGCCAGGCTCCTAGCCAGCTCTTGGCCTCTCTGGCTCTGCATTCTGTTTGCCTTCATGGGTCTACCTGTCAGGCAGGTATTGAGGAGGTAGATAGCCCTGGGCTAACCCACTGTCCGATTTGGTTCAAAAAGGTTTGGCTGACAGTGAAGGCTTGGAGTTGCTGAGTTTGCTCTAGTCCCTCACACACTCTCTCTCTGGCCTGCGTGGACACAGGCCTCACCCTACACTAGCAGGAGGCCTGGACAGTTGTGCTCTGTGCTCCAGGAATGCCATGGTCTTTGGGAGGCTGGAGGGCTGAGAGGCCATGCAGCCCCCGGTCAGCAGCCCCCATGGCTGCACCACCTGGCTCCTTGAAGGTAGGGATGTATCATAGCAGTCTCACCTGGACGGCCTGAACCTCATGAGGCAGGGAAGCAGTTTAGGCACCAGGTGTGGAGTCTTGCTTATGATCCCACTGCAGGGTGTCCAGGAGCCACCTGTGGCTGGAATCTCAGCATAGCTGTGCCTCGTAGTGGGCACTGGGCACTCCAGCCTGGGCCTCCAGCAGTCCCACGGGTCCCATCCAGCCCACCGACACCTTCGGTCAGGAAGCATGTTCTACATTCACAATTTAATTGTAGCCAAAACAGAAATTGCATTTCTCTTCATTGTGTCAGTGTCCTGGTGTAAAGAGCGATGTGCTGACCCTGGCCATCTCCATTCTAACGTGATTTCTGTCTTTTCAGTGGTCCTGGTCTATTGTGCTGAGTACATCAATGAAGTGGCCGCAATGAACTGGAGGTAAAGTCGGCTCCTGACTTTTCAGGAGTCAGCCACCGTGCTGTTCACACGCAGCACTCCCTGTGAGCGTCAGACTTATGGAAGACAGCAGGAAGCAGGAGTGCGCCACACCCTGAGAAGCAGCTGGTTAAATGTTTCACGAACCGCGTTACCTTTGGTGACTGAACCATGCCACTGTACCTGTTGGTTGATCCTTAATAACAGTGAGGGAAATTCATGGGCTACTTTAATTTCAGTTACAGAATTGAAAAAAGATGGGTCCTGCAGGAGCCTCCTAAGGAGGCTGCAAGTCTCAGCGCAGGGCGTTCCCAGCTCAGCGGTCCTTAAGAGCAGAGGCTGGCTGTGAAGCCAGGCCTGTCATTGGTGCAGAGCACCGAGGCTGCTGCTGCGTAGCTCCAGGACTTGAGGTCACTAGCAGACCTGCAGTGGTGCCCTGCCTGCAGCCAGCCCGGAACTTCTGGTGGGCAGATTTTTGAGCCTTGAAGTATCTTTTGGCTCTTTTCCCCCATCATCATCTCCCATAAAGAGCCCTGTGGCGATGCCAAGTTATTTGCTGTTTTTTGTTTTTTGTTTTTTTTAAACAGGTTGTTTTCAAAATACCAGTATTTTGACTCCAGGGGGATGTTCATTTCTGTCGTGTTCTCAGCACCGCTGCTGCTCAACGCCATGATCATTGTGGTATGTAGCTTTAGACTTTTAAGTCCTGGTTTTCTTCAGGCCTTTTTCCCAGTTCTGAATATGTCCTAAAATGATTGTTGTAGATTTTGTGGGTACGCAAGACTTTGAACGTGATGACTGACCTGAAGAACTTGCAAGAGAAAAGAAAAGAGAAGCAGCGGAGGAAGGAGGAGTGAGGTCGTGCCCGTTCGCTTCGTCTGCCAGGGGGTTCTGTGCAGTGGGGCCCAGGTGCCCTCAGCTGGCTTGGGGAAARCCGTGCTCCCTCTGGAGGCCCAGTGCTGGAGCACACACTAAAGTTGTTTCTCAAATTAGCACGGATTGTACCCCTGTGTGTTTGTTGAGCCTGGGTCCACCCTTAGCATGCCTGGTCTCTGGCTGAGCCCCAGGAGGGCCCTGTGCCTCTCTCCAGGACTCCATAGTCAGTTACAGAGTGTCTGCTTGGTATGGAATCTGAACCCGAGTGGTAGTGCTGTCCTGCACACAGGCCCATCACCTGGCTGTCCCCCTGTGTCTTGTGCTCCACGGGATGGCTCTTAACTGAAGGCAGTTTTGCCCCCAAAGGACTTGTGACAGTTTGGTAACACTTTTGCTTGTCACTGTAGGTGGAAGTGGGTGGAGCCTAAATGCTGCTGAACTCCTGCAAGGATAGACTGTGGCCTCCCAGAGGACTGTACAGAGTGCTGGCCCCCCGTCTTCTCAGCCTGAGGCCTTTGAAGCAGGTCTGGCAAAGATGGAACATATCTAACGTACCAACCAGTCCCCTGAGCCCAGGCCCTCTGAAACCACCAGCTGGGCAYATCATGTAATGACCAGTCCCCTGAGCCCAGGCCCTCTGAAACCACCAGCTGGGCACATCATGTAATGACCAGTCCCCTGAGCCCAGGCCCTCTGAAACCACCAGCTGGGCACATCTCAGTGCAGCGGCTGGATCCCATGAGGTTAGGCTTTCTGAAATCAACATGGGGCCACCTCACTGAAAATACTTTTGCTCAAGATTCTCATGTGAAGGGAAGCGTGAAGTCGGGACTACATGGAAAAGAATATGTTAAATGAACCCTTTATTTTGTTCTGAGTGCAGAATTACAGATAGAGGAACATTCACTGGAAGTCTAGTGGGCTCCACCCAACCTGGACGGGGCAGGTCCCTTGTTCCCTCCCTGAGTCTTATCCTGCTTGAGCACCTTCAGGCTGCCTGTCTGGGGTATGGTGCTGTGAAACACTTTTCAAATTTCAGAAAGAAAAAAACTGTCCAAATTTAGAAGGTTAAAAATTGACAGTTTGTCAGATTGAAAAATTGTCTAGAAATCCAGATATGTGAGTTTTAAGTTTTTACATGGTGTTAAGCTCTTAGTGAAGAAGCTAGACTGAGTCAACAGGAGGTAGATGTGAGCAGATAGAATCCTCAGCTAGGCCCCTGGAGCTCTTTGCCTGTAGCTCTTCCCAGTCCCTCTGGGATTGTTCAGCTTGTAGAGTGAACACAGAGGTGTCTGAGAAACCTGATCTTAAGCAAGTCCAATCTCAAGTCGACATCACCTGTGAGGTTGTGTGGCACGTCTGACGGTACACATCCCAGTTACTGCAGGGTGTTTAGTGACACGGGCTTCACTCAAGTTCCCACCCCACAAGGAGGTTTCATGGAAAATGAAGTGTGGGCTGCTATATTTGACTGCAGGAGCTCAGGGCAGGCATGTGTGGCTCTCCAGGGCCAGCCATGGGAAGCAGGTCAGGAAATTGCTGGAGAGGACATGTCTGAGGACGGTGTCTGAGCTCATGCCCAGCTGAAATGCACCAGCAAGGTGGTAGACCCTGTCTGTCTGTTGGTCCATGTGCATCTGGGCCTGCCCAACTGAGTCCAGCCTCCCTGGATAAAGGTGTGTGATAGTACTGTTAGCTCTGTATCTTGGTGCAGCCCACATGTGACCCTGATGTGGGCTCCGGGTTTCACAAAAATGAACTTTTTAGTGAGGCTCCTGTTTTAGTGGCTGGAAATTGCATTGCTAGCAACTATCTTCATATCTTTTCTTCTTGTTAGAGAAAATTCTGCAAGCCAAAATCATCAACACTGAGTAATTCATAAAACTTGTGTGGGCATATGCAGGGTTCCAGTGGGGGTTGTGGTGCGGGACAGGCACTTGCCCATATGCCTGAAGTGCTGGGCTCCAGTTTTAAAACAAGGTGTGGGGTGTGAGCCCCACTCATCCATGCTGTGAGAATGGAAGGCTCAGGGGCCCCTGCTCCTCCGCTTAAGTTAGGAAGTGCTTTTACCATGTGTTTATGAACAAAGCAGAAAAAAGAACATTCTGCATACTCCAAGCCTGTGACACTGTAAGTTTATTGATTGATATGCAATAAAACCTTTGATAGTACATAGTATGTTTACCCCAGAGAGTGTTTGTTTTGATTCTGAGCTTAGGACAGGATCCCCACTACAGGGTGGGCTCCTCAGCACCTGGCCGTGACTTTTACTCACCCAGAAATTTGTCAACTCCCCAGAAGGACATGAACTCAGGCTTAGAGATGGGTGCTTCAGATTAGAAGGAAGTGCCTGGCCTGCACTGTTAAGGAACTGAGAAGGTAGAGGGAATCTGAGGTGCTCCTTTCCTTCACAAGACATCTACATGGGAAGTAAAAGTGCTCACAGGTGTGCTGGAGGCGCAGCATGGGGTGCCTCCTTGGTCTTGAGTCAGATGCTGGAGGTCGCTGCGGTGCCTGACAGCCCCACTTCCCCAGGTCCTTGCTTTGGGAGGTCTTCAGGCTTCCTCCTCCAGGCTTCTGGTGGGCCATTCTCTTGTACGTTATACAGAACATGTGTAAGTCACTGGGGTCCCTGGAAGGGCACTCAGGATTCAGGCTGTCACGGGTGGCTTTCAGTGGCAGGGCAAGACCAGGACCAACCTCTGAGTCCTTCCAGAGGGCTCCTGTGGGTGTGCTGAGCAGCTGCAGGGGGTGTGGCCCGCCAGAGCCTCTGCATGTTTGTGTTGAGGTCCTCACATGGGAGGGAGTGTATGGCCTGGCCTGTTCATTGAAGTACTCCTGTGACCGGCAGGTCATCCCCGGTGACCTCCTGAGTGCCGGTGACCTCCTGAGTGCCGGTGACTGCTTGACTGTACTCATGATGCAGCGGAGGGAGACAGAATAGAAAAGAATGTGGATCGTGCATCTAGTCTTGCCTTGTGGTCCACTGGGCAGTGGTCCCTGGACCTGTGAACACCAAAATTGTCAGGTTACCAAAAAGAGTGGTAGTGGCACAGACCCAGGCACATCCTCCTGTGTGTTAAATCACGTCTAGGTTGATTATAATTTCCAATACAATGTAAATGCAGAATAAACATGTCTTACACTGTATTGTTCAGGAGGTAATAAAAATGTACGTATTCAGTCACCCCACTTTTTACAAAATATTTGTGATGCAGTTGGTGGACTGCAAGGATGTAGAAGCAAGGGGTCCAGAGGACCAACTGCATGCTGGGTCTTAGGAGTGTCATGAAAGAAACAGCAGAGTGCAGGGAGCCCCGGGCATGAGCAGGGCTGGTGCAGGCAGGCCTGAGTGTTGGCAGGTCCTGATATTAATAGGGCAGTGGTGTTTCAACCATATCCTTAGAGGAGAGACATGGAGGCATACAGACCTGGGGGGCAGCTGGTGGCCCTGCACAACATTAGCCTTTACCTTGGAGAAGACTCGGTTTCTTGAGCTCTGAAAGCATTCCTTCCACAGCTGTCTACCTGCACTCGCCCTCCATCCTCCGCGGGGCCTGCACTCCTTCCACTGAGTGCTTGTGAAGGTCTGCCTCGGCTGGGGCAGAGCAGCCCAGCGTGCATTGATTTGCTCTGTGTTGATCATCTCACTTTTCTTTTTCCTGAATCTAGCACTGACCCCGTGAGTCCAGGGTCCTCTAGAAGTGGGATTCTTAAGGAATTTGCTCCAGCCTTTTCCTGCGAGTCTCCTAATATCAGATGCCTGTTTTATGTGGGCCTGGGTTTTATTTGTGTGCTTTTACTTTTTCCCCTTGGTCTTGATCTGGCTGTCTGCAGTTGCCTCTGCTCCAGTGCCAGCCCCCGTTGAGGGACAGACCAAGTTGGCCTTGGGTGCTCCTGTGTTGGGACTGGGGTAACACTTTGCATATCTGTCCCCAGAGGCAGAAGGACTAGGTGGAACCTCCCCTCCTGCACCCACATGCCCCCAGGTGGCAGTGGGCCACAGATGGCCTGCCTGTGTTGTTTTCTGTCATGGTCCTTCCCTGCCAGCCAGGATTCAGTCCTCGTCCCAGTCATGCAAGGGTTATCATCTGGGAGCACTGCTGTGTGCCACTAGCCTCAGCTTCACTCCCTGCCCTGACACTGTTGGAATGTGGACTTAGGGCTCTGCGTCTTTATCCCAGCTGGCCTGGGAATTCTTTATGCTTGTATGACATAGGGCATGTGGGGAATGGGGCAAGTGGTCATTTGTCAAGACTAAGCACCACTTTCCCTGAAGGTCTGTCTTCTCTGAAGTGACTGCTCAGTCCTTTGATCATGAAGATGTTTCACTGTGTGACGTCCTGTCTGGCATGGCAGATAACCAGACCAGGTGCCAGTCCAACTTCCTGCAGCAGCTGCTGATACTGGAGACTCTGCGTTTCTCACTGGTTACTACTGGGCAGCAGGAACATGTGCAGCCTGAGAGGCATCCTTTACCTTTCCTGCACATGAAGGGAATTGAAAAATAGCTACTTGCTGGCAGTTGATAAATATGGAAATATGGCTAAGTCACTTGTCAGGAAGCACGGTCCCACATCAGCCCTGCACGATTTCTGGGCTTTGCCTGTGCTACCGAGCAACTTGGAAAAGTGCTTTGCTGAGTGAGGGACAGAGTCTCACCTCACTGCTTTGCATATCCTCAGTTGCCAGTGAGGGTTATTTAACATTTTTTCAAATTGTTATTGGCCTTTTGCACTTTTGTGAATAGGCTGTTCATGTACTTTATTCTTTGTATTACAGTATATGCTTTTAAAGATATATGTTTCTAATTTTATGTATCAAAATTCACAGTACATGCAAATATAWTTCCAGCCTGCAGTTTTGTTTTGGCCTTGGGTGAAAAGTTTCAGAATGATGAACAGCACATGCTCTCCAGTCAGGGTTGACGCCTATGGGGCCGAGCTGTGGCTCCTCCTCAGCTGGCAAGGAACCCGCTGGCACTAGTGCTGGCAGCAGGGGAAGTAAGGACCCAGCCCTGTGCCACCAGCCAATCCCTGCACTTGTAGCAGTGCTCAGGTCACGTGTGGCACAGGCTTGCATTAGGGCCAGACACATTGTCACCCCTTCACCCAGCTCCCGGCTCCTGAAGCAGGGCAGGAGGGTTTGAGCATCTGGAATGGAGCTTTCTCCTCCCAGGCAGCTGAACAAGACTGTTAGCCCATCCACAAAGCCAACCAGCAAGGCTCCTGCTCTCAAGTTCTCTGTAGGTCTCCTGAGATCATTATTACCTCAGGTGGTGAATTTTAGACAGTTTGTGTTCTGACAATGCAAAAGCTTCTCCAGGCACCTCTGGAAACACTTGGTGCACAGTATCATGAGCATCTGCATCCTGAAACAGCTGGGTGTGTGCTGGTGAGTATGGTCTCTTTGTTCAGCAGAACCGTCGCCTTGTCTGGGCTTGGGCTCCCTTGTGACTAGCTCCCTACTCAGTGACAAGGCTGCTGATGCCCTGGAACCTGTGCCCTGACCAGGTGAGGAACCGGAAGCAGAGAGGACCAGGATCGGGTTTTTGCTGCTAGACAGGCAGAAGGACTTTGTTTACTTTCCTCCAGGGAGGTTTGAAGACCCTTCTGACAAGGAGGCCACTTGACTTTGGTGGCAAATTAAAGTAGATGTGCAGTTGACTGATTTCCCAGCGTAAGAGCTGCAAGTTGGAGGAATTCTACCTGTTAGCACGTTGTAATTATAAAAATGTGTTCACAGAAACCAAGAGCTCCTGGGAAGCACACAGTGTCTGACACTCTGCAGGTGCTTCTGTGGCCTCAGACACCAGGAACCTGCAGGGGCCTGGCACCTAGTACAGTGGCCTTTGCAGTATTCCTGAAGCTGCATGGGGAGAGGATGTCAGTTCCACTTCCTAGTGTTCCCAAAGGTTTGCTCAGAGGAGTGACAAAGGAAATGTTACATGGGAAACGAGATGCTGGTGTAAAGGTGTCTTTGAGCTAGAGAGTTTTTTGTTCTTCTGTTTAGATACACATGACAGTAGAGTGTATTTTGACTGTTATACATACATGGAGTATAACTTCCACTCTGGTGGTTGTAGTGATGTGGAGTTACACTGGTCGTGTAGTCATATGTGAACATAGGAAAGTGATGTCTGATTGGAGAGTTGGTTTTGCCCTTGCTAGAAACTCTAGAAATTTAACATGGACCAAATCCCTGAAATCCCCTGGGCTTCAGCTTCCCCTATGAAAAGGTGTATAAGGACACTGTACTTGTCCAGTAAGATAAGGCCACTGTGGGAACCAAACAGGCGGCAAGACTCAGACCTCCCTAGGCTGCAAGCACACACACTGCGGCCCAGCTGGCAGCCACTGTCCTACAGGACCACTGGAGCCCTGTGCTCCTGGCTCTGGCCCACCCAGGGAAGAGACATGAGCAGACAGCACAGCAAGGCAGGGTGCAGGCGTCATGTACCGGCCAGCCTTGTCCTGTACAAACCTGTTTCCCAGCTAGAGGTAGAGTCCATGCTGAGCCCTGTGCTCTCCCAGGGCTGGCCTAGCCCAGGCTGCCTTGCCTGGGGAAGCACACTCCASCAACCACCAGGGGGCACCAGAGTGCTGTCGAGGCTGCTGTTTCTGTTCTCAGAACTGCTTCTGACTGAGGAGCACTTGGAAGCAGCTCTGCAAGGCAAATTTTAGTTCTGCAGACTGGCGGGCTACAGAACCTGGCTGCTGTGCACCTGGGTGGGCAGTCCTTGCTCTGGCACTCAGGGCCATATCTGCATGGTTAGCTAATTTTAAGCTGGGCTGGGCAAAGGGAAGGGCTGTAGTTAAAAGTGGCTGCAATTGGATCTTATCCCAGTTAAGGCTAAATACTGTGTTCTGAAAAGCACCACCAGACTTTCTGTTTCTCACAAGTCCCTCCTTTTTCTTTTTATCCTTTTTGGTCTCATTTTCATTTTTGTTCCCATACTCTTAGGTATTGCCATCTATCCTGGATATGTTAACTTTTTGAGGTGCAAATCACCGGTGGTAATGAGGCCACCCTTTTTTAGCAGTTCGGTGATTGGGAGCACTTGGTAAGGTCCTTTCCAACTCAGTGTGAAGCTTGTCTTCTTTCAGGTCTTGATGAAAACCAAGTCAC